CATGCTGGAGACATTCACCCTCTATATTTGTACCGGTGAATCTGATCACTAAGTCCCCGTTCACACCGTCACGTTCCGTAAAAATGCATCAACAACACACACACAGACACACAAAGGTTGAACTCGATGGAGCTGTGTCTTTTTTCAACCTCAAATACTATGTCACTATCTAAGAGTGTTCACAGGACGCGTAAAAAAGACGCAATAAACTTGCGTTGCCATTATTAGTTGATGGTACCCCCAAACGTGGCTGAGCAAGTGCTTTGTAGATAGATTTTACTACATGTGCTACTTTTCACGCATTGGTCGCACATGCAGCATCCATTTAAATCAATGGGGACGCGAGGCATACGCGGGAAACAAACGGTCGCGAATGCGTGAGAATGCACGTCACCATGACACGGGTTCCCGCTATGCTATGGTGTGATCTGGGACTAATGTTGAATCCAGAAGTGACGGGACATTGACCAGCGGGGACACCTGCTCCGGTGACAACTAAGAAAGGACTCTCAAACACTCTGGAGAGATTTTCTCTCACGTCCTGATGTGTCTCCAAGACCGCGTAGACAAATGGGAAGCGTTTCTTGCTAAGAAGGTGACCACGGTGACCAATGAGCACTCGCCATTTGCGAGTGAAATTCAAAATCCATAGAACAGGGCTGTGCTACAGGGCAGTACCGAGTACAGATAGTACACCGGCGGAGGGGAAGGAGTGTTTGCCAAAAGTAGGGGGGGCCAGATTGGAGGAGGTCATTCCATTTTCCCAAATTCACCTGGGACGGTGAAGTTACCCTTTAAGACTTGCAAATGTGGGCAGCGGCAATTAAAACAGCCCCTGATCCTTCACTGTTTTCCTTTTGAATATCTGCACTTTGTTTCCATGATCTGGTGAGCATCACGCAATTTTGGAATCCTCGCCATTTTTTGCATCGATCGATTAATTGATTGATTAATTGATTGATAAATCCTCAATTTATGAATTGTACGATTAAATAAATCTGCATGCGCATATCTAGAAGAATAAAAAAAAAACTCAAATTGCAACTTTTTAAACCAATTCGCCAATAATCCCTTACTGGGGATGTAAAAATATCCCCAGTAAGGGATTATACGGTAACATAGACGAATGGCGTCGGCGGGGTTAATTATGTAACAACAACAAAAATGTCCTGTGCGAAGCAGCATGTGAGGGTTATTACAACCTGGCGTGACGTGTCCAAGCCACAGACAGATAAAGATGACTTGTATTCCCCCAGGAGAACACGCCTGCGCTTCCAGCTGCATCCAAAAGGGGGCCCCACCGAGTCACTCCTAGGACTTTTTTTGCAGCCATCTTCTGTCTGCAAAGCAGAAGCAGCAGTGTCAGAGGGAGCGAGAGGGAGCAGGGGAGAGAGAGCTCCGCTGTCCCTCACAACTGCACAAGTCTGAATGTACCCCTGCTTTAAGGAGAACCCCCCAATAAGACTGGCAGTCTGAGGATTACTTCAGCCATGGAAGAAGGCATCCACAGCCTGCAGGAAAGGCAGCTGTCCAGGGAATTCTTAGGGTAAGGCTCCAGGACTTGCTGCTCTGCTGAGAAGTGACTTGCAGACACACAGACCTGATAACCTGTCACTTCATTGCAGAATGGATTACCCTCCCCTGTACCTGTGCAAGCCCAAAAGAGGGATCAAGAGAGACGACACCAAGGTAAGACCCCTTTATTTTGGGAAACGGGGGACGCATTTTTAACCAGCCAGACGGAGACTCGACCAAACTTGTTAGGAATTTTAACGACTCCCGTGTGGCATAGTTGCCAACATGGTAAAATAAACTTAACACCGACACAGTTACATAGTTGTCAGTCTTTAAAAATCATTTCCAGGAACACTTTATATCTGGGCTGCCCAAGCTGTTTTTTTGGTTTTTTTTGGGGGGTAGGTTGAGGGTCTCGTCTGTCACACCAGACAGGGATCTTCAAATGAAACTTGCTGGGAATCTTAATAGCACCAAGGTAAAATAACGCAGATGTCAATATTTTGACAGTCATTTCCAGGGGCACTTTTTATTTTTGATGGGTTCTGTAAGCTTGCTATTTCGGGAGGCTGAGGGTCTCATCTGTCACCCCAGGGACTCTTGTTGGGAATCTTAATAGCACCAGGGTAAAAGGTAAT